TTCGTCATTCTACTGGTAGTATTCTCATTAGTAACTCAGTGACTAAGGCTATCTTTCCAGCATATAATAAAGCTATTTTTATTAAAAAGCTTCCTAAATATCGAATAGCTATCCGAGGGTATATTCGAAATGGTAACTTTGCCCGAGCTCCCTAAATTGTTTTTCACAAGTCAAAAATCTCTAAATGATCATTTAGAGTACTAATAAATCATTTAGAGATTTTTGACTTGTGAAAAACAATTTAGTGTGCTCGGGCTAAGTTACCATTTCCTTTCGATAATGTATATAGATAGAGATCTCCACTTGCTTAATTTTGCAGATCTACCAAGGCATGTTTTTATCACAAAAAGTCTACTGCAATTTTTGAAAGTTACGATTTGCAGGATTTTGTCCGATAAGGTATATCTTAAATTTAAAATTTTTTCTAATAGATCAATCACTGCATGATTTTAATTCAAAACAGCGAAAATCAGAACCTTTCATCATTCATTTCGATGCCCAGCTATTCAGAAAAGGGCAGATTACACTATATTTTGAGATAGATAAGAATCATCCCCAGGTTCAAAAAACTGTCCGTTAACGGTGCCGTTTTCTTGGACCTGGATCGTTATAAAACATGTGGGAAAAGTCTATGTTTTGCTACAAAAAATTTACAATCCCAAACATTTGAAACTATTCCCTCTGTGACGTTCAAAACAAGGGAGCAAGAGAATGTTTATAGTTTAGAGACACTTTGGACTTTCTACACATAGTTCTGATTTAAATTCAATAAGTTACAAAACTTGATAATATTTTCATATTATTCTAAATCTGCTTTTTTATTTACTGAACACTTTATAATTGAACACGCATATCAAAACACGATATGTGTGCTATATATAATGAGCAAGAAAAATATAGGAAAAATTATTCAGACAAATGCATACTTTTTGCAGAAGTTTATTAAAAATAAACGGTTCATGGCACAAAATACTGCTGACAAGCATGTTCAGTTTGATACTAATAAGGTATGAACTTTATAGTGAAGTATTGTTGATAATACATCTTTCGTGCTTTGCATATATAGCCACGTATATTTTGGAGTGCTGGACAAGTATCTAATTTGCAACACGAGCAAATATTGCCTGTTGTTTTGAAGAAAAGGCTATTACTGCCCTATACTCCACCCGATTCGTTAATGAATGATTTATTTAGTGCAATTCAACGTAAAACATGGACAAAAGCAAAATCCCTATGCTACGAATTGATTTTATGTGATTCACAACGAAAAACCTATCGAGATCTTTACATTTTGTTGGACAAGATAACAGACATAATTGATGTACGCGTAAACGGTCCAAGAGAAGAATCATCCGATTCATCTTTGACATCATGCGATGATGGAGATTTGAATGATGATCAACGACGAAGAAAATTGTATCGAAAAAGAAGAGATAAAGCAAGCAGTAAACGTCAAGTAAAGATGAAGTCTTTTTATTAGAAAAACGCTCTTCATCCTATTTAGTAACATAAAATTACACATTACTCCATAGATAATAACAATCGTATATCGCATGTATAAATGGTAGACCAGATAAAACGAGACAATTGTGTAAAGTTTTCAGATACTGAAATAAAGTTAGAAGAATACATTTTAGAACCAAGAAACTTTTTTTGTTCTACAAAATTCGGTATGTTTATCACTCACAACGCCTTCTTCGGCCACTTTTTCTTGCATGTTTTCGAATATGCTGCCATCTGAAAGCCTGTTTTTTTATTATATATACTAATTTTTTTTG